TCCCAGAGGTGTGATGCACAGAGACCACGAAGAAGATCATCTTGTAACCAATACACTTCTTTTACCAATAAAGTTTTATCTTGTTTATTGTTAACCCAGAGTCATAAACTGTTTAAAATATAAGAGTCTCATCCTCAGAACCACATAGTCCAATGAAGGAGCCTTAGAGCTTGGGCACAATACTGTGGGAAAGGTTAATTAAAGACTGGAATTAAATTTCTGGTGGCAGCATTACGTACATTGAGTACGTAACAACAAGAAATTGAGTACATTGAGTACGAAACAACAAGAAATTTAAAACTACATCACACCTAACCACGCAAAATAAAAGAGAGGTACCGTGACACACCCTTTCAAAACTCAAAAACTTGAATTCAAAATGCAAAGTTCTGCTATATGTTGAAATGGGTGTAATTTTCTTGACGATGGTTCTTAATTGTTCAACAAGTCCGTACTGCGAGAGATGGAAATGTACTTGGCAGGTTCCCTGTTATATTTGTAATGCACCCTTTCTCCAGGGTTCTCTGGCATTATGAGGCCTTTAATACAGCAGTTTCCAACCTTTTTGACATGCTGACCCACCAAGTCTAAATTGTTATTATTTCAATTTATATCCTGCCTTTCCTGCAAGGGGGAATATTCACCAAATTCGCCAAATCTTCTAAATCCCACATGGTCCATAATGGGGAATGCTGAAGACAAAATTACTTTTAGGGAAATATAATATTGCTATGGTGAACCATCCAGGGCTGGCCCAAGGTTTTTGGGCACCCTAGGCAAACTATGACCTTGGCACTGATCTTAGTTCAGCATTCCATTTTCTACAGTGGCTAACCAGATGTTTCTGAGAACATCACACAGCATGCAGCTGCCTCCACTATGAACCTGAAGCAAATGGCATTCAAACATACACAGGCTTTGCATATGGAGGTTACACATCCCAGCCTTTGACCACCCTCTCCTTCTCCATTATGCCCTGTAATCCCCTCAAAAGATGCTAGTTACTCCAGTAACTATCAGGACACGTTTTACATGGACGGCTTCAAAAGGGAATTAGATAGGCATATGGAGCAGAGGTCCATCAGTGGCTATTAGCCACAAGGTATAGATAGGGGCTCTGGGGCAAGTGATGCTCTGTCTTCTTGGTGCTTGGGGGGGGGCAACAGTGGGAGGGCTTCTAATGTCCTGGCCCCACTGCTGGACCTCCTGATGGCACCTGGTATTTTTGGCCCCTATGTGACAGAGTGTTGGACTAGATGGGCCTTTGGCCTGATCCAACACTGGCATCTCTTATGTGCTTATGTTCTTATGTTACATGATCAACACGTATATGCAGTGAAGAAAAAAAACAACAACTAAGGTATGGCAGACACTGTTTCCAGGGTCAGATTTTGGTTGCCAAAATACAAAAGAGAGCGATGGAAAGGGCAGGGACAGCCATTAGGGGTGGCCTGCAACCCACTTTCAGCGGCTTCATGACCCATGTTTGGGTCCTGACCCACAGGCTGGGAAACACTGCTTAAATAAACTGTGAGACAGGATATGTGGAGTGAGGGCTGTTGGTCCAAGGTCACCCAGTGAATTTCATGACTGAGTGGGGATTTGAACCCAAGTCTCCCTAGTCTCAGTCAATAATTACCCACTCGGCAAAACAGTCCTATTATTAGTTGCTGTAGATTTTCCGGGCTGTGTGGCCGTGGTCTTGGCATTGTAGGACCTGACGTTTCGCCAGCAGCTGTGACTGGCATCCTCAGAGGTATAACACAGAAAGATGGAGTACTCTCTGTGTCATGGTGAGAAGGAAAATGGCAGGAAAATCTACAACAACTAATGGACTCCAGTCGTGAAAGCCTTCGACAACATAGTCCTATTATTGTTGACATGTTCATTGATCCCAACAGGAAAGCACACTAGATCTCATCCCCAAGGCTTTTCAGGTATTACAAATAGGGACTCACAACAAAACATTGTGCACTGACCCAGCCCGCAGATGAAGCCCGGCTAGCTGCAATGTGTGTGTAATTAATGCTGTATGTTTGTCTTCCCTATCCCCACAAATATTGTTAGTCCAACTGTCTCAAGAGTAACTGTAAATTGCTCTGAGCCCGCAGGTATGTGGGAAAGAGCGATCAATAAATCGAAAGCATTATTATTATTATTATTGTTGTTGTTGTTGTTTCAAGCATTGCAGGTTCTCTTTTAACTCATTAAATCCTTGAGTCAACATCTGGACTTAATCAACAACAAACATTACAAAGTGTGTATAAGGACTGTTATGCCAGGCTTAGCAACGGGATGAAAGAAGTCTTGAGGTTTTACATAGGCCATTACAACATTACTGTTCTGGGAAAGGTAGGAATTCAGCAGGCCTCGAGTGCCCATTTTGGGATTCAAGTTTCCATCCAAACACTGGAAACAGAATTCTCCGCGGTCCCGGTTTCCAGCTGTTTCTCCAACAGTTGCCCATCTAACCCAACATCCCCCATCCCAGAAACAGAATGTAACATTCTAGGGGAAAGATTGAAGGTCAAAGAAGACGGGGACGGCAAAGGATGAGATGGTTAGACAGTGTCATCGATGCAACGAACATGAAGTTGAGCAAACTTCAGAGAATGGCGGAAGACCGGAAGGCCTGGAGGGAGCTGGTCCATGGGGTCGCGGAGAGTCGGACTCGACTGTGCGACTGAACAACAACAACAGGGGAGCATTGGAAAGACTGATACTCACAGGAGGGCCAGGATCGCCGGATGGGCCTGGGTCACCAGGAAAGCCTATCGGACCCTGTGACGGAAGGATATGAGCAGCCAGTGAATACCATACAGCTCACGACAGAACCCCTACAATAACACCAGCTGTCCAGAACGGAGACAAAAGTGCTTCTCTTTGTGGATTCAGTTGACTGCAGGCTGTCTTTTCTATGGGGTTTGTATGAACTCTGAGAGACACATGCACGGTCAGAGAGACGGACATTGCTGCCTTCAATTTTCCCATCTTGTGCTAGCGGGCTGGAACAAAAAGACCTTTGGGTCCTTCCCACTGCTACCATTCTATCCTTCAAGCCTCTTTGCAGTTGTAAACTCTCCTTTCCATAGGCCTTTGTGGAATCAGAGCATCTGTTCCGTCAGCCTTAGAGAAATTGTGGCGTCTCTTCCGTCGGGCAGTAGAGAACTGGGTGAGCCATAAAGCCAATCTCCCTCCTTTCTAGACTGCATGGAACTATGGCTTTGTGCAAGAGGCGTTCTTGCAGGCGGCCCTCTCTATTTTACATCCAGAAGCCGGCAACTCACCAGATTCCCTTTGGCCCCGTCTTCTCCCGGGGGACCCTTCTTGCCAGGGGCTCCTGCAGCCCCTGTTGGGCCAGAATCGCCTTTTTCGCCTGTATAGCCCTTCACCCCCTGCAAAGACACATGCACAGATATGCCGGTCAGGTGCTGTTCGTGGCAAAGAGATTTGCAAAAAGCAGCTTCTTGGGATCTTCACTTAATTCGCATCTCTGCAGAGAGTCAGCTTCATCCCTCGGTAGATTTACCCAGCCTGGAGCAGAGGATGTGCTAACCCTAGAAGGAATGAAGCAGGGTGTTTTCCCACAGCCCCTCCTCAAAAGACACTCACCGGTCGGCCTGGTTCCCCGGGCGATCCAGGGTCCCCTGCTTCACCTGGTTCACCCTGTGTGATGAGAGGGGAACAGAGAATGAACCTCTCCAGATCTGGCCTAGGCTGAATGTCGGTGTGACCTTGGGTCAGTTACAAGTTCTTTCAGAGCTGTTCTCTCACGAGCAGTCCTTGAAAGAGCTCTCTCAGCCCCACCTACCTCACAGAGTGCCTGTTGTGGGGAGGGGAAGGGAAAGGAGTCTGTAAGCCTCTCTGAGACTCCTTTGGGTAGTGAAGGGCGGGGTATAAATCCAGTCTCCTCCTCCTCTTGTTCTTCCTCTTCTTCTTTTTTTCTTCTTCATCTTTGTCTTCTTCTCCAGTTCTGACTTGGGGCCTGGTGTTTGCAACATCTGACAGACCCCCACAAAAGCGTTCTGGCTTATTAAACAACTGCATGTGTACAACCTGGGGAAAGACTCCCTAGGTCCTACCGGCACCTTTTCCAGATTCGGCGGCTACTTCTTCATGTGGCCATCTAGAGAGCTGGACTCTCCACTGCCTATTCTACAGGCTGACATCTGCTCAGAGGGGTACGACACACGTTTCACCATGTCACTATTTTCCTAGCCACAACTACAAAAGAGCACAACTTCTGTCTATTTCAGATGCAATGGTTGGTGTATAAGAAGCACACAGCTGAGCATGTGCAGAGTGCCTCTCCTTTCTATGGCTGTGCAAGTGCAACCTACTGTCACACAACCAGCATTATGGAAGTAGGGCTTCCATGTAAGAGACTGCAGTGTCACGCAAGCCTCCTTTTCCAGCCCCTCACTTTTTAACTAAAGTATTGCCTTTCTTTTCCTTGATTAGCCAGAGCAACCTTTTTCTATCTCCTTATCTACAGACGTACCCCATGATGCTCCTGGCATTCCCCTTGCCTTGGCACCTCCAGTTTCCAATGGGAGTGTCCCATCAGTTCATAGTGTCTTCCTCATGCCTTCCTACCATCTGGTCCATTTTGTCCATCATGCTCCTCTTACAGCTCCCAGTTTTATGACATCTGCTGCTGACAGAAAATGGGACTGCCAGAGAAAGGGCATGCACACATGTGTTGGGAACAAACAACAAAGGATTGCATGACACCATAAAGTCTTAACATAATTATTGTGGCATGAGCTTTCTGGAAACTATACCAGGTGGGGTGGGGTGGGGTAGAGTGGAGAAGAATCCATTCACCCCTCACACATCTGTGTCAACTCCAAGCACCTGTGGCTTGAACTCACCTTTTCTCCAACAGGACCAGGTTGTCCTATGCCGCCTGGTTGTCCCTGTGGGCCCTGGAATTAGAGATGACACTTTAGAAAGAGCACGGGCCAGCACACCCCATTGTCTTCCCTTCTTAATTGGTTCTCTGACTCTCTGGTTGACTGAGGCCAATTCACTCATTACCGAAAATGCAGGTTGGGTCCGAGGTCCCCACCCTGTGTTCTACTTAACAGTCAAACATGAGTTGCAGGTTCTCAGTCTCCCACATGGGTGGTGGCCAATTTGGATTGTGACTGCAGGATGGACAAGGAAGGGGCTGCAGCCTTCCATCTCACTCCATTTCCTTGACAGCCTAGTGGAGTCAGTCTACTCCCATGTACCAATGGGTTTGCCCAACCAGCAAATAATGCACAACCTGTGTATTCTGTAATGTGCAAATCGGCCAATGTTGCTTGCTTGTTTTATATAGAGGGAACGTTCCACGCATTGAGCAGAAGCGATATTTATCCATGCCCTGATCCTGGGGAGGATACTGTGCTGCTTTTCCCATCCTTCTCAGGAAGCAAGGGAAGTACAGACTGGATGTTCAGACTGTGTTTTCCCTGACATTCAAATGTGGCCCATCTGCCCTGTGTGCAAAGAGAACTGATACTCACATCCCCGCCAATTGGACCCTGTGGGCCACGAGGTCCTGGAGCTCCTGGTGGGCCCTAGAGAGAAAAAGAACATCACTGAGGCAGCTGGAGAGGCATCAGCAGTGGGTTTAAGGACTGGGTTAGGTTTGAGGCTGAGGAGATGGCTCTTACCATTGGGCCAACATCACCGCTCTCACCCTTCTCTCCTGGGGGGCCTGGCATCCCCTGTGAATAAAGCACCCCACCAAGGTAAACAGATAGAAAGACTTACCCTAATTCTTTCTTTATTTTTTATTTTTTAAGACAGCATTATTGTTCTCTATCTAGAGATTATATATGCAGTTTTGGGCTATAACATGTACGATTTCAGATTTTGCATTTTAAGAGACAATGTTTCAAACAAATAGATTTCAGTTTCATGTCAGAATAGGGACTTTTTCCATCTGGGGACAATTTTCAGCTCCGAGTAAATTGTGTGCAAATGCAAATTTCCAGAGCAAACCCTATTTATTGCACCATAATCTGAAGCAAATATTTGGCAACTCAAAATAGGAATTGCCATTTTTGCAAGGGCTCATTTCAAAATGTCAGATCTTGAGCAATTTATTGTACCAGTGCCTCGTTTCAAAGGCTCAACATTTGGAAATTATGGTCACAAAATACTGATTTTCAGAACTTCAAAATTCAGGGAATTTCTCATATTAAGAATTCTGTGCAAGTGTTTTAACATGGCTTGCTGTGCTCTAATATCTACGCTTTAAACACCTTCCTTACAAACAGGGCTTTTTTTCTGGGGGAATGTGCAGGAACAGAGTTCCGGAACCTCTTCGACAAAATTATTCTTAGAATGTTTAAAAGTTCATGAGTTTTCAGTAGACAGATTGAAAACTTAATTTCCCTCTTGAGAGTTCTGGCACCTTCTTTTTCAAAAAAAGAAAAGGAAAAAAGCCCTGCTTACAAACCACTGTCAAATACACACATACCCCACATCTGATGTCCCTTATCTCACTTCCAGACTCTGTTCCAGAACTCCTCCAACCCCATGATTATCCAGCCCCCCAGCTTTCCCACTCACCTGTAAACCAGATGGGCCACTGGTTCCTGGGAATCCACGGGCTCCCTCATCTCCTTTCTGGCCAAACATACCCTGCTGTCCTCGGCGACCAGGCTCCCCGTCCACTCCCTGTTAGCAAGACGCGGGTCAGGATTTCTATTGATACAGATCTCTTTCCTCACACCGCCCCATCCCCTTTCTAGTAGTGTCAAAACGTTAGGAGGCTGGCAGGGGAGGTTTTTGCAGCCAGCCAAGATACTCAGTCTCTTCTCTTGCGGATGATTACAGATACAAGTCAAGGCCGTGAGAAATCCAGGAAGGAGGGCAGATTTCAGAAGAGAAGAGTCAAGAGCAGGGAAAGGTTGGAGGAGACAGTTTTAAGGCTTCAGAGTAGAAAAGGCATCAGTAGAGATTTTTAGGGTGGAATAAATACTCACAGCAGGGCCCGGATGCCCGATGGGTCCCTGGATCCCAGTAGGCCCTGGGGGACCCTGCAAGAAAAGAGAGCGTGAGACCGAGAGGGTGATGCCTTTTATCTTCTTCCCCATTTCTTCACTTCATGTATTCCAGATCCCTTCAACACGGCTCGCTGGCCCAGCTAATAAAAAGCCACAAGCAGTGTTAACCCAAGAACTGTCATGTTGGCTGATCCCCCAAGTCCATCAGTGACCCATCTCACACTCACCGCTTCCCCCTTGTCCCCTTTGCTTCCCTTCTGTCCTGGGCCACCCATCTCTCCCTGCAAAGAGAGATCACCATGAGAACACAAAGCATTGCCACGGAAACGATTGCTGCGGAGACCATTGTGAGGTAAAGATGTACCACTGAGCAAAGACTTTGGTCGGGGGAACCAAGGCTATGGAAACGACAGTGAAGCTGTTGCCATGGAACCAGTCATCATGGAAACAAAAACAGGCCTGTCTAGACTCTGCAGAAGTTTTTACTCTCCAAACACTGCCCTCAGTGGAGATGGACCCCTACCTTGTCACCATCTTCTCCAGCAAGTCCTGGTGGTCCGGCTGGGCCAGGAAGTCCCACTGGACCAGGGATTCCATCTTGCCCAGCTGGGCCCATTGGGCCTCGCTCACCCTGGAAAAGTGAGAACACAAATGACAACAGAGGTTCTGGGGTCAAAGGCTGATAAATCTATCCTCTTACACAGAGGCATGAATACCAGGTATACAGGACTCTAAAATTTATTTATTTATATGTCATTTATAGTCCACCTTTCTCACGTGGACTCAAGGCGGATTACACAGAGTGAGTCAACACAGTCAACAGGATGGGCTATTCAGTAAACAATACAACAGGATTAGGGCTGTGGAACCAATCGGAAATCTAGAAACAGAACTGAAGCAAAGCATAAGTCTTAACAGGACACATTAAATGATACTTACATAGTAGAATCCTAATTTCAGTAAGCTGAACACAACACATTAAATGATACAAAAATTACACAGTAGGATCCTAGTTTTGGTCAGCCAAACACAGTAGGTTTGGGCCAAGCATCCCCAAACGTGCATCTGTATAATTTGATTTTCCCATTATTTGTACTATACAGGACCACACATAGCTCTTGTAAAATCTATATGGCAATAAGATCTTCTGCAGAGGCTCTGTTGTATACGGCCCTGCTTTTGAGAGGTGAGGCGAGCTGTCATCTAAGACAGGGCCTTTACTGAGGTAACTTCCGCCCTTCCTATACCTCTTCATCCATGTAACAAATTGCTCTGAGTGCATAGCCTGGTGCCCGGTTCTGCCTCCTAGAGGGGTTGCCACAGTTGAGGGGAAGGACCTGGCACCCTTGAGGTAATTATGTACCTGGCACCAGTGTTCCCTCTAAGGTGAGTTAGTGTGAGCTAGCTCACAGGTTTTTAGTCTCCTGCTCACACATTTTTGTCTTGGCTCAGGAAGGATGGCTCCAGAGCAAACTAATTTATGCAGTAGCCAAACTGCTCGCTCACAACTTTAATGCCAGCAGCTCACAAAGTAGAATTTTTGCTCACAAGACTCCACAACTTAGAGGGAACATTGCTGAGGTAAACATGTGGGTCAGTTACAGTTTTCACACAGCTGTTCTCTTAGAGTTGTTCTCTCAAGAGCAGTTCTCTCAGAGCTCTCTCAGCCCAACCTACCTCACAGGGTATTTGTTGTGGGGAGGGGAAGGGAAAGGAGATTGTCAGCCGCTCTGAGGCTCCAAGTGAAGGGCGGGGTATAAATCCAACTGTTCTTCTTCTTGAAGCATCCCTGGCCATCCTTTCAGGTTCAAGGGATGATGAACCTAACTGCCACCATTCAGGTTTTAACTTTAGGGAGGGGTAAACACCTTGGCTCTTCTCCATCCCCTGGTTCCTACAAAAAGGGTCCTCTCTTTCTCGGGCTCTTGTTCTACATACAATTAATTTATTTAGTTAATTCATTTTATTTTTACCCCGTACCCTCTCCTCACAGGAGACTCCGGGCAGCTGACAGCAATTAAAATATGATACATAAATATATATTTTTCTATCTGTAGGTTGCGCGACATAGCAAACCCAATGGGCCATAGGAGAGACAAATACCACACTCCTGCGACCCTCCCCTCAGACTATTTCCCCCCCACATACAAGTGAGGAGAAAAACAGGAATGTATGAAGGGATAGAAACAAATAGCAGTAAGGCTCAAGTAACATACATGCATCTTCAAGGGATATGGGGGAACTTCAGCACTCAACTAGATAACACAGTGCACAGTGCTAACGTCATAAAAAGGACCCTCAGAAGAGCATATGCAATCCATAGCCTATTTCTGTCACCTTCCTCCCTGTCCTTGAAGAGGAGCGGAAACCCAATACCAACCCTGGCGATTCCAGAGGTCATTTCGGGGGGGGGGAACGCGGGGGAACGCAGTTCCCCCGGGTGAGGTGCAGGGGGCGGGGCACATGACTGGGCGATTCGAAATAAGACTCCGGCAACTGAATAAAATCAACTGCTCTGCTCCCATGGTCACCAGAATTCTGTGGTAATGGAATCTCCACTGGCTACACCCTCCTGCTCATGAAAGCCTGAGGTCAAGTTTATTTTATTTAAGGCATCAGCCAAAACCATTTCTTCCCTCAGGTTTTTGACTGGTTATGTCAGGGCTTGGCTGAGTGGGATTCATTTAATAAATTTAAGCTAAAATAGAACTTAAAATCCATTCACAAACCAAAGAAGGATAACCGCCGACAAAATTAACAACAGTCCAGCCAAAAAGCCCTGATGTGTGGATAGCCCAGGACAGCCTGATCTTTTCAGACCTTGGAAGCTAAGCAGGGTCAGCTCTGGTGAGTATTTCGATGGGAGACCATCAAGGAACTCCAGGAATGCTATGCAGAGGAAGGCAATGGCAAACCACCCCTGAGTGGCTCTTGCCTTGGAAACCCTGCGGGGTTGCCGTAAGTTGGTTGTGAGTGTTTCCTCTAAGCTGAGTTAGTGTGAGCCAGCTCACCGTTTTTTAGCCTCCGGCTCACACATTTTTGTCTTAGCTCAGGAAGGATGGCTCCAGAGCAAACTTAATTTATGTGGTAGCCAAATCGCCCGCTCACAACTTTGATGCCAGTAGCTCACAAAGCAGAATTTTTGCTCACAAGACTCTACAGCTTAGAGGGGGCATTGTGACTTCACAGTAAAAAAAAAACACCCTCAAAAAACTGCTTGGCAGAGCATTCAAAATTCTGATAAAGAGGGGAAGCATTTAACACAGTATTCCCCAATATGCACTATAAGCATTATGATGTCCGCTGAGGGGTTCCCAGAAGCAAAGAACCCATTTCTGGCTTTCCTCCACCTCACTAGATCAGGAGGTCTTTCAGAAGATCCCAGGAAGAATCACCTTTGGGTGAGCAGGGAGCACCCGGTCATAAACCTTGTCTCGCAACCCCTCCAAATTTGGTGCTGGTTCCAGAACCCCACAGCAGCCCATACTCCCAGTTCTCAAAGTTCCAAAGGTGCCCAAAGGCTCAGTGAGATTGGGGATCCCTGGCTTTTGTGTCTCCCAAGAAGTCCTTGCATGCATTATTGGAGCTACCATGGTGAAGGACCGGCCTTTCTCAGGTGAATCTTAGACCCAAGTGGAGGGAACCATTGGGAAGAGTGTCCCTGTCACATGGACCCTCCAAGTTATTTTACTTTATAGCTTAGTTACTCAGGTACTGGTTTTTACTGACTGACGTGATGCTTTAATTGACTTTTTATGCTTCTGCCTGCTATTTGCGATGATTTATTGGTCTGTTTTAATATTCTTGGGGGCGGGGGAGATCTGCCTCAGGAGTTACTTGGCTGAGTTTCTTTTTCGTGGAATGCAATTTTAAAAACATTAAGTTTGTCATCGGATATCTTGTGCCAGTTTGTTGCACGTGAATATGAAGCATCGTTTAGATTAGTGTTTTATAACGCTCCTGGTTCTCATTGTTATTCTGTCCCCGTACCCACCTTTATTGTTAACAATTTTCTTTCTTTCTGTGCAATCTCCATCAAACACTTTTGTGTATTTCTCCTCCCCCACTATCTTGCACAAACCAATCCCACTGAAATGTTTCCCTCCGCAACCACATACACCACGTTTATTCAGCATCCTTAAGCTGCTTGCTTGTAAGACCCTGATTGATTGTTTGACAATTTCATTGATTACGTAAGAGAAAGGTCAGTTAATAAGAGGAAATCGGTCCTTCTGTCTGACCCGGTCTTTAAAGTCCATCAAATAAAAAAGCCTATAAAACCTAAGAAGCCTAAAATGCACAGGAAAAGCTAGATGAAGTAAAATGAAGAAATAATTTGGGAAGGTAATATCACCTGATCTGGATAGCCCAGGCTAGCCTGATGTCGTCAGGTTTTGGAAGTTAAGCAAGGTTGGCTCTGGCTAGAACCTGAACAAGAGACCTCCAAGGAATAATAGGGGCATGATGTGGAGGCAAGCAATGACCAACCACCTCTGAACGTCTCTTGCCTTAAAAACCCTACGGGGCTGCCAGAAATCAGCTGCGACTTGACGGCCCTTTCCACCCACCACCAAGGTAGTATCCTAACCTAGGACTACCAGATGTCCTTTTTTCAGAGGACGTGATCTCTTTTTTTTGGTGTCCATCCTCTTTTGGGCTCCTTTTTAAAAACCTGATGAAAATGTCCTCTTATTGTTTATTTATTTATATTTACATTTATATCCAGCCCTCCCCGCCATTCGGGAGGCTCAGGGCGGCTAACAACATATATAAAAATACATTAAAATTCCATTAAAACTATCAATTGATATAAAACCATACAACTTATATTAAAAGATGGCAAATCTTCTTATATCGGCTGTCAACGAAACACTGTCCACCGGCCCACGCCCAGCTATAAAGCCTCGGTTGGTGGCGCCGTTGGTACTGTCGGTACCAATAATGGTACAGTTGTTGCCACAGTTGGTAGGGCCAGGGCCATACAATTGAGGTGGCACCCTACTTAAAAGCCTGGTGGAAGAGCTCCATTTTACAGGCCCTGCAGAACTGTAAAAGGTCCCGCAGGGCCCTGATGTCTTCTGGAAGCTCGTTCCACCAGTGAGGGGCTGCCACAGAGAAGGCCCTGGCCCTCATTGTAACCAAGCTGGCCTCTTTAGGTCCTGAAAGAAACAGGTGATTTTGGAAGCCCGATCTTAGTGCACGCTGGGGTACATGCGGGGAAAGGCGGTCCCTTAGGTAAACAGGTCCCTGGCCATATAGGGCTTTAAAGTTAAGAACCAGCACCTTGAACTGTTTCCAGTATGCTATAGGCAGCCAGTGCAGGGTTTTTAGAGCGGGCTGGATGTGTTCACACATAGGGAGACACAACAACAGCCTCGCCACTGCATTCTGCACCAGATGCAGCTTCCGGATTTGGGACAAGGGCAGCCCCATGTAGAGAGCATTACAGTAAGCCAATCTTGAGGTGACCAATGTGTGGATCACCGTTGCTAGGTCATTGCGTTCAAGGAAGGGAACCAACTGCTTAATCAGCCGTAGATGGTAAAAGGCCGACTTTGCAGTGGCTGCTACCTGGGCCTCCATCATTAGGGAGGTATCCAGGAGCACTCCCAAGCTCCTAACCTCCGGCACTGGCAACAACGGCGCCCCATCAAAGGTCGAGAGTGGGATCCCTTGGGCCACTCCGACTCAGGCACAGGACCTCCGTCTTCATCAGATTCAATTTCAGTTGACTCTGTCTAAGCCAACCAGCCACGGCTTTCAGTGCCAGGTCCAGATCTCCCAGACTAGAGTCTGACTTGCCATCCAACACCAGATAGAGCTGGGTATCGTCAGCATATTGATGACAACCCAGCCCATGTACATATAGATATTAAACAGCACTGAGGAAAGCACTGCACCTTGGGGCGCTCCGCACACTAGTGGGTACCTTCTGAACAGTTGCTCCCCAACTGCCACCCTCTGTCCCCAATCCTGAGGAAACGAGGAGAGCCACTGTAGGGCAAACCCCTGAATCCTGGTATCAGCAAGGCGGTGGACCAGTAGTTGATGGTCGATGGTGTCGAACACCACCGACAAGTCTAACAACATCTCAACACCACTATACCGCCTCGATCCAGATGCCTCCGGAGACCATCTGTGAGGGCGACCAGGACCGTCTCTGTCTCAAGGCCTGGTCGGAAACTGGACTGGAAGGAGTCTAATATGGAGGTGTCATCCAAAAAGCCCTGCAACCTATTCGCCACCACCTTCTCGATTAGTTTAGCCAAGTAGGGTAAGTAGGATACCGGCTGATAGTTGGCTAATTCAGCAGGTTCGAGCTATGCCTTTTTTAACAGGGGGCATGCTACTGCCTCCTTTAGGGCACTAGGGAAGAGTCCCTCCATAAGGGATGTGTTGATGATCCCCCTTATGCCCCTCGTAACCCATCGCAGCCAGCTTTAATCAGCCACGACGGGCACGGGTCCAGACTGCAGGTGGTTGGGTGAACCGATGAGAGCAATTTGTCAACCTCTTCTAGACTGAGCGGATCGAAATAATCCAGAACTTGACCAGAAGACGCGCATGGAGCCTCAAGTTCCGTTACTTTCTCTACTGTGGCAGGGAGGTTGTGGCGTTGCAACAAGACTTTATCTGCAAAATAGCTCGCAAAAGCCTCACAGCCGATATCCAGTTCCTTATCATTTGGCCTGCCCTGTGGCAGAGTAGTCAGAGACCAAATTGTTCTAAATAATTGGGCTGGGCGAGAGCTCACAGACGCAATCGTAGCTGTGCAAAAATCCTTTTTCACAGCCTTGACTGCCATCTCATAGGATCTCATAAACGTCCTATAGGATGCTCCTGCCGCTTCATCGCAAGCGTGACGCCATTGTCTCTCTAGCTGTCTAAGCTCCTGCTTCATTGCCCTCAGCTCCTGTGTATACAATGGAGCAAGTCTTAGGCGGGGGCACAGAGGGCACTGAAGAGCGATCTCGTCAATTGACGCCGAGAGTCAGTTTTGCCAGTCCTTGACAAGCTCATCCAACGAGCCGCCAGGGGGCATCAGATCCTGCAGGGCCATCTGGAATCGCATAGGATCCATTTGGCTCCATGGGTGAGCTAAAATATGCTCGCCGCCCAAACAGGGTTGGAGTGGCATGTTCACGCGGGCCTTCAGGACATGATGGTCCGACCATGGTACAGCCGTAGTCGTAATGCGGTCCACCATAACCCCCGCCACAAAGATCAGATCAAGAGTGTGCCCTGCTTGGTGAGTGGGGGCCATAACACACTGGGAGAGTCTCAGCACCGCCATGGATGACACCAGGTCCATTGCCTGTGTGGAGGTTGCGTCATCAGCATGGACGTTGAAATCACCCAAGACCAACAGTCGAGGGTGCTCAAGAGCCCAGCCTGATACGGGCTCCAGCAGGGATGGCAGGCTACTTGCCAGTGTGTTAAACAGTCGGTACACCAGCCAGATAGCCAAACTCTCCCTGGCTTCCCAGACAAAGCCAGCACACTCTATGCCTGTGAGTTTTGGTGGCGGGAGCGCTCTGAAGGTGTAACTCTCCCGAATGAACAATGCCATTCCTCCCCCCCTCCCCTTAGTCCGGAATTGGTGAAGGACCAAGTACCCGGGAGAAGCCAACTGGGAGGAGCCAACTGGGAGAGAGCTACTGTCTCCCCAACTCGCACCCAGTCACGCATGCCAGGTCCATGTCCTGCTCTGACACAAAGTCATGAAGGATCGTAGTCTTGTTATTTATGGACCTGGCGTTACACAACACCAATGTCGGAGAGGGGTTATCCATCCTAGCCCCACTACCTCCTACCTTTGGGATGGGACACAGAGTGGAAGGGGGCCGAGCCCATCTACGTCTCTGTTCCCGTTCTTTCCAATTCTTTCTGGTCACCCCACAATACTTTCCCCTCCCCAGGAGCACTGGAATCCCTTGGCTGGTCATCATCCACTAGCGGCCTTTGCTCCCTGGCTTCCCAGACAAAGCCAACACACTCTATGCCTGTGAGTTTTGGTGGCGGGAGCGCTCTGAAGGTGTAACTGTCCCGAATGAACAATGCCACTCCTCCCCCCCTCCCGTTAGTCCAGAATTGGTGAAGGACCAAGTACCCAGGAGGAGCCAACTGGGAGGAACCAACTGGGAGAGAGCCACTGTCTCCACAACTCGCACCCAGGTCTCAGTCACGCACGCCACCACTAGCGGCCTTTGCTCATGGGTCCAAAGGGTCAGGTCCAGAGAATCTCCAAAGAATATCAGTCCAAGCCCACAATGAGGCCAAGGATTACAAACAGTGGGTCTGGGCTGTAAAATTCTCCCAAGGCAAAACTGACAGGCAGACTGAATTTAATTCTGGAACAGATTCCATTTTGAAGCAATAACAAAAGAGAGTGTTGTTTGTGTATGTACACAGTGCCTTTCCCCTACCAATGAGTAAACACAGTCAGCCTAAGTTAAAGGGGCTAGGCTCTGGGGTCAGAGGAGAGGTTTGGATCACAGAAACGGATGAGGAAGAATTGATTTGTACATACCGGTGCCCCCTTCTCCCCTGCAGGGCCCACAGGTCCCGGATTACCCCCACGCCCTGGCAGTCCGATGCCCCCGGCTGCTCCTGAGGGGCCTCGCTCACCAAGGGCGCCCTATTGAAAAGGAACACATAAAATAAGCCTGATACAAGAACATGAGGAGAGCCCTGCTGGATGAGACCAGTGATCCCCCTAGTCCAGCATCCTGTCTCACACAGTAGCCAACCAATTCTTCTGGAGGGCCCACAACAGGGCATAGAGGCTGAGGCCTTCCCCTGATGTTGCCTCCTGGCTCTGAGATTCAGAAGATTAGTGCCTCTGGATGTGGAGGTTCCCCTCGGTCACCATGGCTAGTAGCCATTGATAGACTTATCCTCCATGAATCTATCTTATCCTCCTTTAAAGCTGTTTATTCCTGTGGCCATCATTCTATCCGCTGGCAGCAAATTCCACATTTTAATCACCTCTCCAGAGCCCTCTTTGTTGTAGAGATCACTGTGTCCATCACCCCATCCATCAGGCAGGAGACGGTAATCAAGAGCTGCTCACATCAGTACACCATACTACTGAAGGTTCCCCTACCCAACCATCACACTACTCCGCCCCACAGAGCTTATTTTCTGAGGCCTCTGTGATGGAAAGAGATGTTCCCGGCTTCCCCATCGGCTCCTTGTGATTCCCCCACTGCCAAAAACCCAGTCTAGGAGGCTGTGCTAGTGGAAAAGAGAAGCAGGACAATTTCCCACAATTCCCCTGATGCCTCCCAATAGCCCACAGCGTTTTGTCCAGAAGGGTTTCCTGACCCTCGGGTTGTGGGGGTCAGAAAGGGCTGCTAGGGAAGAGCAGGAAAGATCTGTGTCCATCAGCACCTTCTGC